ACATAGATCAAACTTAAAATAAGATATTTTAGACTTTGAAATTTATTTGAAACTATTTAAATATAAATCATATTCTTTTACAAATATTTCAATCTTCATACAATAATGTAAGTTACTATTGAATGGTCATGATGAAATATTTTTATAAAACAATGTGATTTACACTTTTAAAATAAGAATATATATGTGTAATATAATGAAAATTTTAGCATTACCTGTTCAAAAGATTTGAGACCAGCTTCTTTTCCCCACGCGAGCATATCGTCCATGATCAACTGTTTAACTTGTGGATTAGCACATAACACGCTTAGGGTACCGGGTATACCGTTCTCCACTGCCCAACATTTTACAACATCTACATCTGGTATTGCTATTCCTACCACGCAAGATTTCAGGGACTCTCCGTGAACGAACACTTGATGTACATATTGACTGCGTAAATAAATATTCTCAATTTTCTCTGGAACTATGTACTCTCCTTGCGACAATTTGAAAGTGTGTTTTCTTCGATCGATTATTTTGAGCGCTCCGTTCTGTAAAAAAGAAAGGATCTTGTTAGTGATTAATGAAACATTGTAGCAACTTTAGAAAATTTATTCGTCAACAAACTTTATCGAAATACTGTTCAACGAGGGAAAATCTGTTTTCTAAAAATGATTAATGAAAGGCAATACGACACTACAAATAATTATCATTGCGCTACGAAATATGCGAAAAAATTCTTCACGTCACAGATATGTAACTTAAAAGGGGAAAAATAAATGCGAATTTAAAAAATTTTTAAATTAATTTCATTTGTTATAATTGAATAAACTTAGAAAATTACACGTGATAGTTGGATTAACAAAAAACCTGCAATAAAACAGAGTAAAAATATGACTACACTAAAAAAAAATTGTATAAAATTAAAATTTGAAAAATTGAAGTTTTTCAAAAAAGTTCCATATCGACATTATATTTCTCCTTCCATAGAGAACAATTTTTGCACAATAAACTTTCCGATTTTTTAATAGTTTGAAAAATAGATATTCACGTGTTATCTCTAATTAAATTAAATTCTATTTCTTTTCTTACAGGCAACCACATGCCGACGTCTCCAGTGTGATGCCATCCAAATTCGTCGATAACTTGTGCAGTTCTTTCGGGATCCTTGAAGTATCCAACAAACACGTTAGTACCTTTCACGCACACTTCACCTTGGTTTTTCCTCGCGTAGTATTCCATTTCCGGAACGTCCACTAATTTAACGCAGCAGCAGGGAACCGGTGGTCCCACGTGTTCCGGTACATGATCACCCTAACAATAGCAAGATACGCAAAAGAACAGTAGATTAGCTTGAGCTTTTCTTACAAAGTGTGAGAAAAAAAGAAATATTTTTAACATATATATTCATCTGGAATATTCCACGGTGAATATTTATATTCAAACTAAACTTGTTGATACTCGAAAACACTTGTTGCAAATATTTTTCAATTATTATGCAACCTGTGTTGTCACAAAGTGAATAAACCTTTGTTTTTCCAAGGAAAAACAAGGGAACCTAAAAGATGTAACAATAAAGAGCATACAATAATTTAGTGAATAATTTCTGATTTAATGGAATAATATGTATAAGGAGAATAAACTTGCAAAAATAGTGAACAATAATTTTCTAAAATGTATTATTATTTAAAGTCGCATCCAACGTTAAGGATTATTAGCGGCTACAATATAAAAAAAGTAACATAAAAATACATTATGTATTGTGTAAAATATTTGCAGTTTATCAATTGGGTATTCAACTGATTAGATATTTCACACATTTAAAATACTCGTTCGAATATATCTAACTGGTTCAATAGACAATTCCAAAATTATTCTACGCGGCACAACATTGGGTTCTAATATTTTTCGTGAAATCTACATTTTGGACTGCAAATATTACACTCAATAAACCGTACTATTTGTTTGTTTGCATGTACATCATATTAGGATGTCAGTCGCGACACTCTGTGAAAGCATATTTTATCCAAAACGACTTCCCGTGTCATCCTGTACAATCATTCAACATTGTCCACACAAAGTATTTTGCAGAGTTATTTCCAAAAATTTTCACGACAGGTGAAATTTAGAGGCATTGTTCGTTTCTCGAAATACCAGAACACTGTGCAACGATGATGTTTAAATAAATCAATATAACAATTGGCCAGTGTGCGTGGAACGATGCAACATTTTACAACAGTTGCATACACACACGTACGTATGCATTGTGTTTTGCATAGTTGATTGTATAAATGACGTGGCCCGCCACGTGCTTTGGCGCGTGGTTGCAACATTTTTTCTCTCGGATTCGTCCGACAGGAATATATCTACACCCGCGTATAAATAATAGCTGGTGTCGTCTAGCTACATCGATACCTGCAAATATGCCAAGAATAGTGACCACGCGTGTCACTTGATCGTTAGTCAGTCCTCGATCGAAATCGAATGACCTCATCGAAACGATTTACTTTGATCATCATTGCTATCATATTTTTTCCTCCTTTTTTTTTTGGCTATTCGTATCAACTGGTTTATTCTGTATGAATTATTGTATAATACATAATTGCTGAGATTATTTTAAATATGCCATTTATTTAACATTTACTGTATGAAAAAATTTAATGTTTTGTTAAGTTCTAATTAAGTGTAATTAAAGTAAATGTTTTTATTATTATTGTTACATTTTTATGTTGGTAGTTCTTACTTTATATCATAGGTTTATTGAATTAATTTAGTCTTTTAATTTTATTGTACAAGATAAGGCAGAAAGGAATTGTTGTTAAAATAGACTTTACTGTTGTAGTGTCTTTTGATGTATTTCCTTTTCTTTGAATAAATACTTATTAGAATGTGTATTGCTTTTTGCTTTTTTAAGTGTAACTGCAATTTATTTCAGTGAGATGGGTGAAGTGTGAAAACTGGCTTGAAAGTGTATTTAAATTTTCAGAATTTTGTTGCAAAGCCAATGTTACTAATTTTCTAAAATGTTTTCACGGTTTCAACTAATTTCATTTAGATCTCTGTGATTGTGTCTGTTATTTTATTTAATTCTATACTTCCTATTTCATTTCATTTGAAATTGTTTCATTCTATTTCACTCTAAAAAGAATCTCCCATGATATCAATTCTACATTTCTTATTTTACTTAATTTTAATTCATTTAATTCTATTTAATTCCAAAAAGAATCTCACATGGTATTAATTCTGTATTTAACAATATATATTAATTCCATATTTCTTATTTTATTTAATTCTAAAAAAAAAAAACTTAACGTAGCGCTAATTATTCCTTGAATTACTTCTTCAAAAGTCATTTAACGTTGAAAACTCCAGCAAGCATAATTTCCTATAACACACCTTCTATGTTCAAAGACAAATTGCAATCTGTTTGTAAATTGACTACTGCAAGAATCGTACATGTGAGCAACAGGAATGTGTTTAAACTTGATGATAACCTTCAGCCGATTTATTTTTTAATCTGGCACGGTTTGTTTTTCTAGCTCACTGAAAACTATAATCCGCGGCTTCAGCTCAACGGGTGCACGAACGATTTATTTACGGAACGTTTATTGACCGGCTCTTTCGCCGAGACCCGACTATGTATCCGCTTCAGGCTGATATGTCTGTTAACATACAACGCGTTTAATCCCCTCCTTGCATTCCGTTTGCTATATAACATTGCTTGGGCAAGATGCAGGTTAAACAACAGACGTGCCTGAGTTTAAGTGACGTCTTCAATGTTTTCGAATTTTAGCAGGGTGCACCACCATGAGGCGTCTGAAAATAGGTCAGCTTTGGGAATTTTTTTCAGAGGTAACTACTAAATGAAAAATTCCAATTTTTTCGGAGGATATAAATACCACTTTCAGCTGTTTTCTCCAATTTTTGAAAGGCAAAAATGTTACAAATTGGAGGAGTTATTGTGGAACATCTTCTGCTAGAACATCGATTACTATTCGCCGTTGCTGGCAAGGATTGAAACGTCTGAAATGGGAAATTCTTGTTGATTTATAAATAAAAGTGTACTACCTACAATGTAGCGTGAGATTTTTCGAAAATTGTAATTATTATAGAAATGGTGGCAGTTTGAAGAGAAGAAACCTCTTTTCACCAAAAAAATCCCACTTAAACGTTTCTAAAAAATTAGATAATTGAGATATCGAAAAAATCGTATGCTACATTGTAGATAATACATTTTTATTTATAAATCAACAAGAATTTTTTATTTCAGACGTTCCAATCCTTGTCAGCGATGGCGACCAGTAACCAATGCTCTAGCAGAACAAGTTTCGCAATAACTCCTCCATTTTGTAACATTTTTACTTTTTAAAAATTGGAGAAAGGAGCTGAAAGTTACATTTATATCCTGTGAAAGAATTGAAACTTTTCATTTAGTAGTTACCAATAAAAAAATTCCCAAACTTTTCCCTTTTTCTAGGATGGTGCAACTAACATTTTTGGACATCAGAGAAAAATTGGGTTCTGTACTAAACCAGGCTTAAATAGTTTTTTTCGTTACGAAACCTCGAATAATTTTCATTTATTTTCTTTGTACGAAAGATAAATTCGTTTTCTAATTTGTCGCTCTAACATTAAAAAAACGTATTAATTTTGTTTGCTTTACCGCTTTTTGTGCGTTTCTTCGTCTGCACCATTCCGCAGTTAAGCAACTCTCGCATTGTCGTTGACGGGATCTCTAACAATTTTGCACTCTTTTCAATCGCTTCTTCTTTTCCAATACCGTCCACTTTCATTAAATTTCTGCACACTTTCAAGTACATATCTTCCACATCTTCTGCTAGTCTTTTTCTACCTCTAACACTTATCTCGCTGTTTTCTAAAATATTTTCTTCTAGTGCAGACTCTTCGTGTGTTTGCTCAACACTTTCATCATTTACAGACTTTACACTTGGACTTTCCCAAGGACGAAACATTTTAATAAACTAACACCAGTTTCACCAAAAGATTTACCGACAGCGTAGAAATATGCAAGCTTGTACAAACGATGTTCACAGATCAAAATTCAAACTGCTTCTAACATTTTTACTAATCACTGGCAGGTAGGACAAATTAGGTTATTTCCCTTCCAAAACGTTTCTGGAGGGGCTAAATGGAGAGGTATATGACATGTATCTTTATTTACCTGCTCGTGAACCAGTGTGCAGGTAGAAAGTGAGAGAAGGTTGTGTACAGTTAATGGAATTGATGTAGTGAGGTAGTAAATTCAAAGTATTCAATTTTCTTCCCAAATTGTTCTTTAAATCATTTCTTAAATTTCATTTCAAATTTTTAATATTAAATACTATCTCTACTATTTTTTAGTTAATTTCTTAAATTTTATTTTTAATTTTCAGATCAAAGCATTAACCCCTATTCTTCTCAAATTGTTCTTTCTATTGTTTCTTGGTTTCATTTCCTAGGTTTCATTTTGAAAATTACTGTACCTAATTTTATTTTCAAGAAAATTTTTATATTTTTTTAAATTTTACGTGATTTTTCATTATTCTCCAAATGAGGATTATGGTACAAACGAATGGATATCAAAAAAGATATTAAAAGTATTTAGTCAGAAGAGCTTAAAATCTCAAAGTGATGCATTGAAATACTTTTAAAATCATTTATACAGAGGATATGGAAATACTCAAGTGCAGATACCGAATAACATATCTCGAGAAAATTTAGTTCCACGTCAAATAGGAAACCTAATTCATAAAATATCAAAAAATATTCTCTACCTATGTATGGCGGTACGAAAAAATTTTTATACGTAATTTTTATCATTCCTATCCATAGATAAATTTTTCAAATATTCTAAAATTCAAGGAACAATTCCTAATTGACATCGAACAGCAGTAAAACGAAACTCCAGGCCTGGCGGATTTTATGACCTCGCTGTATTGCTTCCACCAACTGTACATTTGTCCGTAATTAGGAAAAACCGGCTAACGAATGTAGTTTCGCCGTTTAAATGAGTTTTATGACATCGATGACCATTCAAACACAAGAAGAAACTCCAAATATTTCAAATAGTAATTAACATTTGCAGAGTTCTCACTTGTAAATGAAATATCGCTGGTCATAAGACGTCGTTCTTTTATTGTGTGCAACTCTAAAGTCGACTGCAGTGAAAAATCCTAAAAGTTCTGAGGTGCTTTCATTTATGACCTTATATTTTTTATTATACCATTGTTTTGCTAGTAAAATATAAATATACTGTTTGGGTATTCTGAAATAAATAATGAAAATAATTTGATAATTATCGTATCAGTCATGATAAACACTCGCAAATTTTGGTTCAATTATGTTTGTAATTTTCTGAAAACTAAATTTTTCTAATTTTCTTATTAAATAAATAGAGAAAC